CGGGCAAGTCAGTGGTTAACTCAGCCACCTGTAGAGATTTTCCCTTATCTGGGCGAGCATGCCACAATGGGTAGATCCATGGGAACCTTTGTAGAATTCAAGAAGCAATGAGTCGAAGGCCAATAATACAAGCAAGGAAAAAGACATTACGATATATATTACCTTCCGGTTTAACACGTGGGGGTCAACTCCTTGGGAAGGTGGCAGCTCTTCAACTAGCTGTGGTGAAGACTTAGGCAGAGCCCTTACATCAGATAACTGGGACGAAGCAGCTTTAGTAGGAGGCGATGGAGCAGGGACTGCTAAGACCAGAGCCTTCGAAGGAGAAGTTGAACTCTTCGGGGAAAATTCAGGTAAAAATTCACCCATGAAGGATTTTTTTCACGAATAAACAAACTCATTACCTTTCTTCTCAGGATGAGAGAAGCATCATCACCATCATCACCCTGTAAAATTGGTGAAGCCGAGGCGGCCGTTTACGACTGAAAGCACCTTTAGCTGTACTAGTTTGAGCAGATGGAGAACCAGATGAAAGAATAGGACATTTAGCACGTGGCAAGTGAGAAGGAGAAATGATATTCCTAATGGACACAAGAGTGGCCAGAATAAGAGACGTAGATGAAGTCTTTGGCCGATCCAACAAGTGGAAGGCAAGATTAGCATCAGTTGTGAACAGCCTGTATTTCACCGATGGCTGAAGCTGGTAAAAAAGAGGATGAGTAACAGCAGTGGGATTGAAATGAGCCAAAGAAAAATCTTTGGTCAAAAGAATATTATGGGCATCAATGGCTTGTGCCTCGATTTTATTTCTAGTATGGAAACCTTATGCTAAGTTTCTAGAATAACAGGGAGGAACATGCCACATTTGGCCAAAACCAAGCGGTGAGCAAAAAATTGGGGAGTATATATCTCAACCCCGGCCTTGGCATTTGTCCCAGTTATGATGTCATGAAACAGTTCTCTCCCAATCAAGAATTGAGCCCAAATGGGCAAGAAAGTGCTCACTTCAGCCAGAGTAGAAGGAGGTCGCACATAGATAGGGACTTGGTGAGGAGAAAAAGGGAAAAATGAAGGCGTTGAATTCAAATTGTAAAGGAATATGAAAACATCCCTATTGGACATATTCACAGGGCTCAATTGATAGATGAATAACCCATAACAATTGACCAATCGAGGAGGCGATGGTGGAGTACCAAGCTGTGGAAAATATGCTCTCAACCACAATTGAACGAGCCAAAGAGGCCCACTACCAGTGAGAGATGCACCATTCCTCAATTAAAATTGAAGGGAAGCCATACTCTATAAAAGGCGGCTAAAAAGAATGAACATAAATTCAGAGACCTACCACGCGCCAACTCATGTGCTATGGGCAGATAACTCATGGAAGGTTTCAGGCTGGGGACACAAAGGACATATTTACAAAGTCAGACCTGAATAAAGGCCACACGCTCAATGTGAGAGGGCTCAGAACTAGAGGCAGTATAAAGGCCTTGCATGCCTGAATATGACTCAGTGAGTTTTTTGTCAAACTTNGCACATTTTATTGAATTTTATTCCTTGTGGGACGATACACGTTACCCATCACGTATGCTTGTAGGTTTCACCCAACCAATTTCAAAAAAACAATACAAAGCTTTTCTAAAGTAATTTTGTACACACACGCAGAGTGTTAATGTGATGATAGTTTCCACAAATGTACGTTTATAACAATGTATGATCATTTAAGATAATCATCCAAATTTAAATCAAAGAACAAACAATATATATGACAATCGATGATCAGAACTATATACAGAATTAAGCAATCTTGAAGAAACATGTTCTTAGTCCCCTCAGATTCTAAGATTCTCGCATGAAACCCTAGACAAAGGAAGATTCAAGAGGGTTTTTTCAAGAGATCCAAGAATATTTACCAAATCGAAGGATTGTTTATCGTTATTAGAAGATGAAAGATCATATAGTGTAAAACAATGAATACCAAAGAACTGTTTTACTTCCACAGCGAACCAAAATCAAACCCTTCAAAGTGCGGATCTATGAAGATCTATCTCCAAGAACAACCAGAAAAACAGATCAAAGTATTCTGATACCACTTGGTGGTATATTTGTCCCAAGAACACAAGGTAAATCAATAGAAATTTAAAAGAACATAGAGAATTTTCACCCTAAGGTTCGGATGTTCAGCCAAATGGCATACTCACCAAGTTCAGTATCCATAAAAGTGGTTATCACTCTAAATTCACTAGAAATCACCAAGAATATCAGTACAAAAATCCACATGGTCTGGACCCAAGTAGAATTCACCGCGGTCAGGGCGGGCTAGTGAAAGAAAGCTTGAATTTACATGTAGTCTGGTAAAGAGGTTTTAGAAATCCTCGAAACTGAGGGAGTTATCGGAAGGAGTTTGTGAAGTCTCCATTTGCAACGAAATGCGCTCATTGTGGAGGGGTCTTGAGAAATTTAGCAAAGAAGCAAGATGATGAGCAGTAACCTTTATGGAGAAGCACGATATAAAGACGTGAATGTAATGGTACGATGAAGTGGCGTATCTTTTGGGTTATAAGGGTGTGTAACGTTACACTTTTCAGGTTGTAGAAATGTTATCGCCAAACGAAAATAATGATTGAAATTCTTTGCCCTTTTGGGGGATTTCAAGTATTGCCGAAAAATACAAAGGAATAATATGGCATAAATTAATAATCGATATTAATTCTGCTATATTGGGGGGTAATTGTTGACATACGAAAAATGAAGCCCAATTAAATGGTCCAATAATTGGAGCCTAGTTAGGGACTTCAAGATATAGGCTCAAATGAGACCATTGTAGAATATGTCGTAGGCCCATAAACAAAGTACTATCATCTTCCAAGTCTGTAGGACATCCAGGATCTGAGCTAATGAAGCGCCTTATCGTCTCCTAGAGCGATGATCTCATTTTCGCCCAGGCCTTTGAGTCGCTCAAGATTTAAGCTAATATGATGTCTTGTGATTACTTAAAACGACGGTCATTGAAGCGGTTATCGAGCAACCTTATCACACTCCACGATCCAAGAATCTTAGTTACAAGCGGTTAAATAACAAGAGCAACAGCAATAGTTGTGAATGGCAGTTCCCTGACAAGTCAGCCAACACTAAGAAAGTGGGTAGTTAAAGAGCGTCAAACAGTTTCCAGGCCGTTCTGTAGAGAAATCCGTCAAAGGAATATGAAAAGGAAAAGAAGACATCAAAAAGATACCCCGAATCAATCACTCTCAACGGTGAATATGTAATTTCAATTCATTTATTTTCTAAGTGCAAACTTTCAATTTACTTCGTGTGCTTGTGCCCCTTGGCGGCGCTCTGTTTCTTCCCAATTGCAATCTTCATAAATAAAGCGCCACTTTTTGAGATCTTGTTTCAAGAGGTTTGTTCCTTACACAATCGTTTTAACCTATTTTTAATTATTAACGATAGCCCGCGCGAAACACCTTGAAAGAGAATCCTTATAGAGAGAGATTTCTGGAACTTGGAGAGAGAGAGAGAGAGAGTCACGCTCCAAAAACAACGACGCTAAGCTTGTACTCGTGAACCCCGTTTTTTGTCATTAGGTACTCACTGCTCAACTATAATAAAAGTTATGACCAATTTGATACTCAAGCTGGCTCAAAGAAATCAATAAAAATAATAACAAATTTTGGAATTTCCTCTATGACATATCCTAAGTATACGTTTTGAGAGAGGAGAGTAATTATTAGGTAATAAGTAACTATGAATCAGTTCAAAAGTTTTTTCTTCTTTTATTTAGGATCAAGATTAAGGTTGGTGTTTTATTTGTCATTCTATGTTTTTGACTCACTTGGTTAACCTAATTTCGGAGGTACATAGATAAATCTATACTAATAAAGCATTCTTGTTTTCCTTTTAATTGTTCATTACACAAATTTAGGACATGTTTTTGCTGGTGTAACTTAATTCTTAGTTGTCTTGTCTGAAATTTACGAAATCAATACAAAGTAATCTACCGAAACAATGTTGTAACAGCATAGTTGATAGGGAGGTGAATAGCACTACTATATAGTTTTAAGAAACAATTTTTTTTTTGGTTTTAATATTACTTGTCAAACGTATATACATTAATATTACAAGTATATATTTTAATACAAGAAGCTATGGATACGCTCAACCCTAAGACGTTTAGTTGATTGATTTAGATAGCCTTTGGACAAATGTTTCCATACTGTACTCATCTATGCCTTGCGGCAATTATTCCTTCCAGCATTCATTACAAGATATAAATTTAATTTTGTCCATATTTTTATGTTCTTTTCAAGTCTAAATAAAGGAGGAGGATTGTCATAGAATAGATTAACAATTGAATCAAATTATTCTTTAATCAATTGGCTCAACTTCGTCATCATTCTAATACCACTTTTGAAAAGAGTAACGACAATTCAAGACAACAAATAAATAAAATTCACTCTTATTTCTTGAACTTATACAAAACTATTTATACATGTAGCAAGAAACTATTACATACTTCTTCCTAGCTAGGAGGATTCAAAATAATTAACAAAAAACAGTTGATCCTCGTGACCTACCTGCAAGCTCAACCAACCGGCCGCTTTACACCTTTAATCCCTCGTTTTTGTTAAATCCCTTGTCTACCTTTTCCTGTTTATTTTCATATATCTTAAATTCCAAATATAAATACACTAGTTTTCTCCAAAAATAAAAAATCATAAAATAGATAAAAAATAACTAGTGTACAACAATAAGAAATTTTAGTTTTTTCTTTTGGCAGTTGTCCAAAAAAGGCTTACTATTGATAAACTATTATCAGCATTACATAAAATTTTCAGGATTACCTATAAATATATATACCTATAAGGTGCTTTCTATAATGGCACTTCCAGTGAAGAACCATTTGCAATGGCAGAGGCTTTAACTTTACTAACCAGACTTATTCCATCGGCTCATCCAATGATTGCATGTCGAGTCGTGTGACTTGGACGAATTGTCATTTATTTTATTCGTTCCAAGTTATACTTCACCAGTTCTTCCAGAACTAAACGAAATGAACTCGGAGGGAGGCATTGAAGATTTTGAATTGCTATATTAGATTTCTCTCTTGCCAAGTCTTGTGCCCTCTGTATTCCTCCACATCTTTTCACAATCTCAATGGCCTCTTCGAGAGAACCGGTGTCGCAGAATTCAGATTCAATTATATCCCTCAATCTTGCTTCTTTCTTTAGTGCAAATATCACTGGTGCAGTTAGGTTACCATTTGCCAGGTCACTTCCTGCCGGTTTTCCCAGTTGCTCGGCTGATTGAGTGAAGTCCAGAACGTCATCAACGATTTGGAAGGAGAGACCAAAGTTCTTACCATACTGATACATCTGCTCGCTAATACAACTGTCGACCCCACTGAAAATGGAGGCTCCTTTGGTGCTAGCAGCAATCAAGGAGGCTGTTTTGTAATAACTCTTGATCAAATATTCCTCCAGTTGAACGTCACAATCGAACAAACTAGATGCCTGCTTTATTTCACCACTAGCAAAATCTTTAATCACCTGCAATATTATCCCCACATAACTAGTTGCATTTCGCTGTAATGTGAAATTAACGAATTTGTTTCGAGGACAGATATTTTTGGTTTTTCTCAGGATCAAGTAACCGATTGTCATATTATGTGGTTCCTGGGACGTTCCTATTTTTACGTGAAAAGTCTAGTATAGTATACCTGACTGATAAGCTTTATGACTTCGAGATTTTCCAGATTGGCCAGGTACCATGATGACTGTGCAAACATAAAATCACCTGCCAGTACTGCCACTCTTGTACCATATAATTGATGCACAGTTTCCTTTCCTGAAAATGGAGTACATATGCGAGGTTAGCCTAAGAAAAAGAACTAGCTCCAAAAAAATTGAAAAAGCTAGCAACAGACTGTCTTTCATAATTTGTTAAAATATCTAGAGCTCATAGTGAAACCCTCGGAGTTTGGCGATCTACTCGAAATTGTAAACTCATTTGTGGATCATCATTCATAATTTAATAAAATAAAAGGACTTGGGGTGTAAGAAGCAGACTGATAAGAGGTGAGAGAACAAGGCAGGCAAACACATCCATATATGGAAATAAATGTTTAGCATGACATTTATCGGGACAACTATTGAGCAATGAAGCTTGTGCATTCAGGTATTAAGTGAAATGAGGTTTTATCAGCTTGAAGTCTTCATTGAACTGATTTCTGGAATATTAATCAAAGCTATGTCTGAAAATTCATAAGTAAACAACACCAAAACTTAAAAAAGTGCTTTTCCTTTTTCTGTTGACGAAACCGGTTATTAGAGCCAGTGAACCTTGTTGACCGAGACAGTTTGAAGGCTAGATTGGGGATACAGTGCCAGTTTTTCTAATTGTCTAATAAAAGAACACAGAGTTACTTGATTTCTTCAGCGGAGCAAGATACACCCACCCAAAAAGAATCAATAGCACAAAGATTCAAAGGCTAACCTCTTCGCATGTCACTTTCGTCTAATACATCATCATGTATCAAACTTGCAGTGTGGATCATTTCAATGATCTCGGCTAGCCGTCTATGTTCTTTTGTCAGTTCCCTGAAGAATTAAGGCATTCTAAAAATATAAGTGACTTAATTTTCATTAGAGAGTACTACAATTAGGAAATTAGATAGCTCACTTCAAGCCAACAATTTCCGCAGTGGCTCTTGATACTAAAAAAACTAAAGCTGGTCTCATCCTCTTTCCACCAGCCCCAAAGATTTGTTCAGCAGCAGACATCAATACTGGATTTTCTGCACCAACAATCTGACAATAAATTCTTATCAGATATTCAAGTTGCGAGATATGGGGTTGCAATGAATAAACAGTTGCATATTGAACACAGAGTTGGGTACCAAACTTAAAACAATTTTTTTCAGAAACTACTTGTAGGATCCTTAGTGGCATAGAATGTGGTAACATATACAAAATTGAGACATGAACGACATTATGTGAAGTGATTGTTCCACCATTGTATCAGTATAAATTATTAATGATTAAATTGAGTGGAAAATGATAACTGTAAGAACAATAAATAGCAGAAGAAACTGTAATGTAAAGCCAACACACCATGACACAGTGCAACTTCTTAGAATTAATTGTGTACTCGATATACATCAAAATAATGTATTTACAAGTGATAGATCAAAAGAATGAAGCAACACAATATTGCATACTCCATCTTTACAATATATGACATCATCAAATTTTCTGCCTTCACTAAATTGTAAAATTTGTCTTGTAACTACTGCATTTGGCCTTAGGACAAAGTTACTGCAAAGTAAAATTATTTTTATTTTGGAACGTTAAAGCATAAATTCTCTATGAAAAGCATAGATTCTCTAATGAATATAAAACTGTTACGCATCGCCACCAAGGCTCCTAGTGGAGGCCACATTGTAGTCCATGTGGAGACATTGAGTCAAACCTGACAAAGTCAACAAAGACCCAATTGGTCAAAATAAATAAGTCAAAGAAGAAGCTGATCTCCATTGTTCCGAGACTCTTACGTGGCGAAGCCCTGTCTCGATACGAAGCTCTCTTTGGCAGAAGCACCCTCCCCATCTGAAGCTCTCTTTGGCCGATACACTTGCCAACTTTTAAGGGATTTGTAGACAATCTTTAAAAATGATTGACCTAACATTTATATTAATAGATGTCATGATTGTCAGCTTAAGATGTCGGACGATGACCTGTTGTCAATGTATTAAATGTATGGTAGACAGAGTGATGTGAGGCTTCGGCCTGCGAGATGAGGCAACGTGGTTCTGATCCAACGAGTAGTGCGTCAATCAGAACTCTGTAAATAACCAACTCTTGTAATTTATTAAAGGATACACTAAAAACATATTCAGCTCTCTCATTTGCTCATTCCATATTTATTTGTTGGAGTTTACTTTATTTTTTACTTTGGTTGAGTTGCTCCTGATTGTTTGTTTATATACAATCATCTTCGATGTTGTCGATGCTTGAACACTTTTCTGTCGCATTGTAAAGCATTTCCCACGTCCATAAACGACATCCTTTCCATCCAAATATCTGGTTAAAACATGTTGGAATTTGCTTGCGTGGAAGTGAGTGGGCCCACTATCTTTTATCCACATAACCATTACAAAAAAAGAGGTAAAAAGATCGACGCCGTCTGTGGGAAATATACATTCAGACCATGTCGAAAAATCCGGAAGGAAGGTAAATTTCTTGGGAAATATCTTGCCTTTGAAGAATCTGAGGGGTTCTTGAGGAAAGAACCACAAAATGTTCCAAGAGGAATAATTTTCTAGAGTCTAGTATATTCCTTGAAGAAAGGAATATCATTCAGTATCAAAGAGCCAAGTTATTGGAGAAAACACTACCATGAGTTCTGTCAATGAAGAAGGGAAACCCTCGCATGCTGCTCCAACAACTCGCCATCGATTTCACAGCAACACAGGCAAGGTGGATCAAGATGTAGGTCCAGAATAGCCGCTAGACTCATCAGGGAGGTGGCCACCATGGCCACAAACCCATCACTTAGCTAGGTTTTTACTATTTATATGGTTTTGACATTATAATTTAGAACGACCTTTGACAAAATGGAAGTGGACCATGAGTTAACTCCTATGGCTCCCATTTGTACGGCTTCACTGGTGATAACATCATCCCAAAAGGAAAAAATACTCTTAACAGTGAAGATGGGGACGACCCCATTTATTGCTCACAATTTTATGGAGATCTTGGTAGTAGACAATCGTGTTGCCTACCATGGGGTGTTGGGAAGACCAGCATTGAAGGAACTATGGGCAGTTATGTCCATGACTTGTATATGAAGTTCCCAACAGAAAACGGCATCACCCCAGTCAGAGGCGATCAAATGAGTGCAAGAAAATGCTATTTGAACTCCCTCAGGAAGGCAGAACCAAGAGACGTTAATGTAATTTTGATGACATTGACATGAACGACGCCCTTGAACAAGAGTAAAACCTGAACAAGGGGAAGACATCGAAATGATAGACGACTCCGAAGAAGAGACTGTCTTTGAAGTGTAATCAGCCCCTAAAGAAGTGGCTAAATTTGATGAACTAGATCCTCGCATCATCGATTGTGAACCCAAAAGAGCCCATGGAAGAACTGGAGAGCTTTACAGTAGATCCTTAGAACCCCTCCAAATCTTTGTAGGTTGGAAAAGATCTGCCAACTGAGGCTAAGAAAAAGATGAAATGTTTCTTGCATGAAAATTGGGATATCTTTGCATAGAAAAATGAGGATATCGTTGGAATTGATCCAAATGTTAGTTGTTACTACTTGAAGATTGACCTTAAAGCTATCCCTCACCGACAAAAAGGACGGCCCTCAACCCAGAAAGGTACGAAGTCTTGAAAAATAAGGTGAAGAAGTTGATTGAAAATCGTTTCATTCGAGAATCTACTTATCCGAGATAGGTGTCAAACCCTGTCCTCGTTGGGAAACACAATAGTAAGTGGAAGGTATGCATAGATTTTTCCAATTTTAATCAAGCCTACCCCAAGTACAGTTTTCCACTTCCACGAATATATCAACTCATTGATTCTACTGCTGGACACGAATTATTAAGTTTCATGTATGCTTGTTCACGCTATAATCAGATCTCAATGTATCCAGCGGATGAAGGGCATACGTCCTGCATAACGGATATAGGTCTCTATTACTATAAGATGATGCCCTTTGGTTGAAAAACGTCGGTGCTACTTATCAGAGACTTGTTAACAAGATGATCGCAGACCTTATTGGAAAGACAATAGAAGTGTACGCGAACGATATGCTCGTGAAAAGTTTGAAAGTATTGGATCATGTGGAGCACCACGTCGAAGCCTTTCGAATACTGTGAAGGTATAAGATGAGATTTAACATCCTTAAATGCACATTCGGAGTTGCTACATGATTAACCAAAGAGGCATAGAAGCTAATTCAGAAAAGATTAGGGCTCTGGTTGAAATGAAGTCGCCTCAGAAGCCTAAAGAGGTACAGAGCCTCACTGGATGCTTAGCAACCTTAAGTCGCTTTATCTCGAAAGCAATATATAAGTGTCTCCCTTTCTTTAAGGTTCTAAAATGAGGAAATAAATTCCAGTGGACGCGAGAGTGCGAAGTAACCTTACAAGAGCTGGAGAAGCACTTAGGACGGGCTCCCTCCTCTCCAAACCCAAAGCTAAAGAACCCGTTCAATTGTACTTGGCAGTAACCTCCGATGCTATCAGTTCGATGCTTATAAGGGAGGAAGATGGTCACCAATTACCTGTTTATTATGTGAGTAAAACACTTCTCGCAGCTGAGACCCACTATCAAGACATGGAGAATCCGGCGCTCTCTCTCTCTCTCTCGTGATTGCTTCTTGAAAGTTGAGGCCATACTTCTAGGCACATACTATACAAGTGATAACCAACTTCCCACTCAAGCAAGTGTTGTAGAAGCTTGACGCTTCAACAAGAATAATGAAATGGGCCGTGGAACTCAGAGGCCATAGTGCAAATGTCTAAGTCCCCCATCAGAATGTGAAGAAGTCATGAAATTCAAATCAAAGTTTAAAATACTTACGAAGTTAAACAAAATCACTAAAGGAAAAATGGCAAAAGTTCGTGAAAGTGACTGGAAGGATTTCAGTCACCAAGGCTCCTAGTCGAGGCCACACTGTAGTCTGCGTGGAGAAATTGAGTTAGATCTGATAAAGTCAACAAAGATCAAATTGGTCAAGACAAAGAAGTTAAGGAAGAAGTTAATCTCCATTGTTTTGAGGCTCTTACCTGGCCGAAGCCATGTTTCTATACGAAGCTCTCTTGGGCCGAAGCTCTCTTTGGTCGATGCATTTGCTGGCTTTTAAGGGATTTGTAGACAATCTCTAGAAATGGTTGAAGTAACATTATTATTAATGGATGTCAGGATTGTCAGTATAGGATGTAGCGCGGCTGACCTGTTGTCAATGTATTAAATGTATGGTAGACGAAGTGACAAGAGGTTTTGGCCAAGGAGATGAGGCCACGTAGTTTTAATCCAACGACTAGCGGGTTGGCCAGAACTCTATAAATAAGTAACTCCTGTAATTCATTAAAGGATGATACAACTCTGTACACTCAAAAACATATTCAGCTTTCTCTTTTGCTTATTTCATATTTATTTGCTGGAGTTTAGTTTTTTTTTTACTTTGGTTGAATTGTTCGTGAATGCTTTTTTATATACAATCATCTTTGATATTGCCGATACATGAACACTTTTCTCTCGCGTCATAAAGCATATCTCACGTCCATAAACGCCATCCTTTCCATTCGAATCTTCAATGAAAACGTGTTGGTATTTTTTTGCATGAACGAGAGTGGTCTGGCATCTGTTGTCCACATAACCATTACAAAAAATGAGGACAACAAAAACCATAACTCCATGGTATCTACAGCAGAAAGCTAATGATATATTCAATGAGACTTATTTAGATTAATGGGATGGATATCTAGATACTTATGAAAGTTATGTCAAGCATTCAGGCATCTTCAGTGTATGTTTTTCATTCCACCACATGTCTTTCACTAACTATACTAGAGAAATGCCATGTGCTTTAGAGCCCGAGTTTGGTAAGAAGCATCTACATTTACACTACCAGTATAGTGTTGCAGCACATCTCCAGTTATGGTCGAATTTGATTGCTTCCTCAATGGGAAAGTGCCTAGCTGGTGGCATCAAATTCTACTTGACCCGACTACTCTTATCCAGTCAGGTGAGTTGTCACACAAGCTAGATCGTCAGTAACAAATGCTCATCTTGGCATGTTGTTCTTACACCACAAGCAAATATAACATAATTATTATAATTCTATCAAATTGGGGCCTCCAGATTAGAATTAGACACATTTGAAATCAACAGTTGAATTAATAGCCTGAAACAAGCAAATTAATATATATCATTCACAGTAAGTATAAAACACTTTATAAGCCTATTCTGTGTTCTTAATTTTGAAACCGTATCTTATACTTGCTACTAGATGCAAAAATACAGAACACGGTTTTCAAAGTGATAAGCGCATTTTATGCGCTTATTAGGACTTCTATTCTTATTTATTTAAAGCTTATTTGATCCCCATTTTATTGAAAGAATGAATTTTGAAATAGTAAATTGATTAAGAATGTGAGTTTGTGTGTAATATTATTTTATTGAAGAATGTTTAGTTGAAAAGAAGTGAGAGAAAAATGTATTTTGAAAAATAATGCGGATCAAACAAGCTCTTATATATAATTGAGCGATTATCTACTTAATTTGTGTAAATTATGTTAATTGTAGTAAAATCCCAACTTGGATGCAATTTATGTGGAAAGAGGCTATTTGAACCTTAATTGGAGTTGATTTAAAGTAATTGAAGATTAACTGGATTGCAAAAAATTAATTGGAAGTATTAATAGAGCATTTGGTAAAAATTCATAAGTTTGGGAGTTAAATTCACATTTGGAAAGTTTGAGAATTAAATTGCAAACTCCGAAACTTGTCTCAAGTTAATTATTATGATTTTGGAATGAAGAGGACTTAATTGCAAAATAAAAGAAGATGGAGAAATAAAATCACAAGTGAAAATGAGTTCAATTGAAAAATGCATTGTTTCCTTTTGTTTTTTAAACTAACTATAGGGATAAATTGAATACATTAGAATTCGATCGGTAAAGATAATCAATTGTATAAAACTTGATACTTGAGATTAAGGGGATAACTATGGTAAAATCATGAATTCTAATACTTAAACCATCATATTAAAAAAAAAAAAAATCACTAGTATATTTAAAATAGAAAATCACGAAAGGAAAAATAATTATTTTATTTGTTTTTGATCAAATTGAAGGTAGAAATAATTGAATCAATTGTTAGATAGTAGTGCTCGTGAGAACGATATGTGGACTCATTACGATCCGTACACCAACGCAAAGCATAAAAAACAATTTGAATCTTGTCGACAAGAAACTTACTGACTGCAAATTTTTGTTCAGCGTTTGAAGGTCTTCAGCAACTACTTCAAACAAATTTGTCAGCGAAGCAGGGCTTCTTGATTCTTTCTTCAAGTCTAGCACTTGTGGAGTATCTGCTGTAACCCCTAAAATTATACCAAAATGGAATAAAAATCACAATCTAAAAGAATAAAAGTTCAAAAACTAATTCAACTATTAAACCAATAAAATTGGATCAGAGGGAAAAAAGCAGCAGTACCTTTGAGCAAAGCTCCTGAAGTTTTTGTCCGTGGACCAATTTCAGGCTGAAAACTCAACAATTTTCGAGCTTTATAGCCTCTATTGGGATTTCTAACTGCTCCCTTAGCATAATTCCTTACAGAAAATCGGTCAAAAGAGGCATTTGAAGAGCATCCACAGGCCAGAAAATCCAACATTGTTCTTCCAAACTCAAGATTATGGCATGCCACCGCCGTCATTCTCAAACTAAATTCAATCAAAAAGCAAAACCAATAAGATTTACGAGAATTCACCTCAATTTCGCATTTCCCACACACCCACCAAGTGAAAACTCATTCCAAGAAATAAAGAATCGGAGATTTTTTAGAAAACTGAGAAGCTATTGTGTTCTGAAAGAGAAAAGGAGTTGGGAGTTACGTATGGAATTGCAGAAAATTGAGTGGATCAGAAAATACCACATAGTTTTGTTACATAAATGATTAGGAAACGAAGGAGAAAGTTAACTGATATATTATGAAAAGGTTTCGTAGTTGAAAGGAGTGGACTGTGGACCTTCTTATCTTAACACTAATATTTGTCAGCGGCTGGTGGTGTAGGAGAGACAGAATCTGCCAGTGTGTGTGTGATGCCTATTGATCCTTCGATATTATTATGGCGCAGGAAATTATTGTTAATTTTGAAAACTGATGATGCAAGTAAAAATGAGGTCAAATAATATCGTTACAGAAAAATAAACATAGCTGTTAGATTACAATATCAATTACAAATTTAGGGGTGTGTTTTTCATCCTTTAAAAATTTAATTGATTGCTACAGTATCATTTCTTCACCACACATTCACACAATAAAATATTCTACGCACAAACCAATAAAGTTTCTTTAAATTTTAACCACACATTCCAAAAAAAAAAAAAATTCAAAACTCTATTCTTTCTCCGATAATGGGAGACAAATAGGGGCTAAATATACAGATATAAATTTCATTAAATGTATAAAAATATTTTTGTCACACATTACATAATATTTTAAATTTAAAAAAGATAAATTTTCAAAGGTGTTAATATTGAGAAATAGGAATGAAGTTGAAGCGGATCAAGTGGTTACAGAATTAATATGGCTTTTGGCTGGTGTTATTAATGAAACTTCGGAATTCAACATGTATTTTGGGTTATATTGTTTGTGAGAGTTTGGTAATTTACCAATCCAACAGGGAATAATTATTTTTTTATTTCTGTTTTCATTTTTCATATATCTGTCAAGAAATTTTTATTTTTATAGTTGTTATCATTTGCATTTCTCTATTTGGTAGGTACATTGGATGATTTATTTATCACTTTTTAGTGGGTCAGAATATGGGCGGACGCAGATCTTAAAAGTTAGGGGGGCACAATCGAAGTTGCAAAGAAGTTGAGAGAAATTTTACAATTGAAAATTTATATCCAAAAAAAATCATACCATATGTAATTTTACATCCAAAAATTTTCATGGGATATAACTTTTTCGGATGTAAAATTTCCAAAATTTTTGATGTTATATTCCATATAAAATTTTCTAATAAAATGATGAAAATTATATTGAAAAATTTATTTCAAAAATAATAAATGTTAATGGAATAATTGCATTTTTTTAAAAAAAAAAAAGTTAGACGTCTTTGTTAAGACTCGCGTTTTAACGTATTTTTAACTATTTTCGATATCTGTTTGGACTATTCGATATGCCCATAATGTAGTTCTCGAAATAAGTTTTGAGATGACATAAACAATTTGTAGATTCGATTAGCGTAAGATTATCGAAAAATTTTTAAAATTAGCATGTTATCGAAATTTAAATTTATTGTGATTTACTATTAGGTGGAGATTAAAATCAATTTTTTAGTAAATTTTGATAAAAGTTAAAACAGTTATGGATTCCATAAAATATGTTATTAAAATTAATTGTTAACTTTGATTTCTATTAAAATTTAGATTTCAATCGATACCAAACACGATTTTATAAAAAAAAAATCTCAAAGGTAGGGGGGACACTTGCCCCCCAGGACCCCCTAGGTCCACCCATGGGTCAGAATAAAGAATTTTGATTTTCTACAAATGCATATTAGAAATTTAATTTTTGTAATAGTGTCTAATAAATTCTTGTTTTACTACTCTAAGCAGGTATTTTCAATTTGTGCAATTAATATTTCTTTTAGAAAAGTGATTGAAAATACTATAAATACATTTAAATTGAATGCATTTTCACCATAACCATGGCTGAAACCTCAATTGATGTGTTTTATTTTTCATGTAATCAGATGTCTTGCCATGGGTTAGCGTCTTCTGTTCCGACTCCTCCCGCTTCAGTTGGAAGTGCTTTAGCTGAAGTTGGAGATACCGCTACTGGCATTCAAGATGATACATCAAGTACACCGGGTTCTTCACAAAATTCAAGTTAGGAAAATGAAAATCCTACTCTTATAGATTTAGGTGATAAGGAGGAGGCGACTGAAGAAATTAGAAAAAGAAAATTGACATCTACAATGTGGCAGCATTTCAAGCTACTTAGAATTAATAACGTGCTCAAAGCAATTTGTAAAAAATGCAAGAAACAATTAGGCGGTGAGTCAAAAAATGGGACAAGTGATTTACGTGCTCATTTAGATAGATGTCCCCTTCAAGGTTAGAAGGATGTCAAACAGATATTTTTGAATCAATTTAAAGAACCTAGTGGTAGGATTGCAATGTGGGCATTTAATTTTGATCAAGAGAAAGGTAGGAATATGATCATCCTACATGAATATCATCTTTCAATGGTTGAACATTCTGGGTTTAGAAAATTTTGTAATACAATTCAACCAGTATTTAAAGTTGTTTCTCGTAATACCATCAAGGCTGATATCTTGAAAATTTATGATTACGAGAGAACGAAAGTAATAGGCTTGTTAGAATGGACCAATAATAGAATAGCAGTCACTACTGATATGTGGACATCCAATCAAAATAAGGGATTTATGGCTATCAATGCACATTACATAGACGATTCTTGGAGGCTTCAAAGCCGAATTTTGAGGTACAATAGTTTTATAAAATAGACTTTAAGCTACTCTTGTACATCTTCTGAAATTTTATGTTATCTTGCGAACTTTTTTTCACCATCGATACATATTTATATACGTCCCTTGCTCCCATACCACTGATTCACTATCTACTATATTAATGGAATGTCTATTTGGTTGGAATATTGATCAGAAATTATCCACATTGACTGTCGATAATTGCACTATGAATGACGCTATGATTAACATTATGTTAGATAAGCTTTCTCTTGGTTCTTTGCTGTTGAATGGTGAATTTTTCCACTTGCAGTGTTGTGCACACATATTGAACCTGATAGTAAAGAATGCTTTGGATATCATTAGCCCAAGTGTCAAGAGAATCCGCGATAGTGTTTCATATTGGTCAGCAACACCAAAAAGAGTTGAAACATTTGAAGCAGTTGCACGACAAATGAAAATCTCTTGTGAAAAAAAATTTAGCAATGGATTGCAAGACTCGATAGAACTCCACGTATCTAATGATTAGATTCGAGATACAAAATGAAACTAGTTGAATACTATTTTCCTTTGATCTTTGGAGTAGGTAGAGGTTGAAAAGGTTAAAGCATTTTATCTTAAGTTGCTCAAAGAGTACAAGAGACCACGTCATTCGACAGAAAATATATCTCACTTTTCATTATCTTCGCAATCAGAGTCATCTACTAGACTACTACTATTGGAAAACATTCTCGCATGGCTAGTTTTGATACATTTGTTTGCCATTTTGTTACTGCTAATCATGTAAAAATAGAGTTTGATTTTTTCTAGACGAGCTAGTATTGGTAGGGTGGATGGTTTTGATTTATTTACGTGGTGGAAAGCAAGTTCAATAAAATCCGACTTTACAGAAAGTTACTAGAGATTTATTAGTCATTCCAGTATCTATTGTGGCATAGTGGAAGATTTGTGAGTCCACATGAAAATAGGCTTCACCCGAAGACTTTAGAAACTTTAATGTGTGCTCAGGATTGACTTTAGACTGATATTCATGGTAGGATTTATTGTTTTATATTTGTTATTCATGCACTTTCTTTTAATGCTAATTTTTTTTTTCTCTATTGTGTATAGAAAATTTTGCTCTTTCATCGTACTCCGAAGCTTGTGCAAGGTTTAGTGGGGAGGATATTGACGAAGAGGTACATTTTTTTGTTTAAATCTTTAGTTAAGACCATTGTTGATTAGGTGGTATGGTTGTATTATTACTCTAATTACATTTCTTATTTACTATATAGGAATCAACTTTGAGTCTTGACACTTGACCTATGTGAGTAAGAGTTATGGAATAATGAAGATTGACCTACGTCAGTAAGAGTCTTGACCCATGTTGATAATATTGTTTGTTAAATTTGAATTTTACATTTGGAAGTTGGGATATTGTTTGCATTTTCATTTGGGATATTATTTGCTAAATTGACTTAGTATTGTGTTTTTGTTTTTATTCACTTTTCTTCATAATTTTTTTTTTCAATTTGACGGTTAGAGTTTGGACTTATAAAAAATAATTTATTTTCGTGGTTATTAACTGAACCAAGATACGAACCGAACCGACTTACGTGGTTATGGTGCTGTTATGGTATGACCAAAAATTTGGTGGTGCGGTTATGATTTTGACCGAACCGATATAGTGATAACTTGGATGCAAAATACAATGGCAGTAGATATCAGATGCATCACAGTTTATGCAGAGACTGCTCATCAACTCTAGTTGGAATTTGAGCAACGTTTTGCTCAACAAAACAAGGATTTTAAAGGTAAAACAAGGCATTATAACCTTGTTGCAAAACCAGGATTCTATGAGTGTATAATTTTCTAAACCAAAAACCTTACTTGATGAATTGTTAAACTATGAATCCATTCTTAACTACACTTGTGGAGGCTTGAAAGTGGTGATTGAAAATCAGCAAAGAGATTAGGTGATGAAATTTTTGACAGGCCTCAACGACTCCTACAAAGGGATAAAGGCTCAAATTCTATTAATCAAGCCCTTTCCCTGCCTAAATGAAGTATACTCAATTGTTCAACAAAATGAGAAAGTGAGGGAAATATCTAATACTAGTTTGAGCAATAACTATGTATATTTGATAAATAGAACTCCCACTCCTCTATTAAATCATAAAAGCCCTATTGAAATTCATTTCAAAACTAAACCAAACTATGATCATCTCAAAGT